CTGCTATCAGATGTGTGCTCTAGTTGAAGATAGAAAGAGAGAGAGGGAAGGTCAAAATATCACACCGAGGGGAGATGACCATGCCACAGTCCCTTCTTTTTGATTCTGCTCTCCGGATTTTAGGCACATATACACACATATCCAGCTTTTATTTCAAGCTGCTGGGCCAGGAACTTGAACTGTGCAGTTGGCCATATGAGGTCCAGCTGCCTGAACCTTAATGCCATCTGCTGGCCTGCAGACATTTTCTAAGGCAGGTGTCACAAAAGAATAATGCTATGATGAGCAGTCAGGTCAACTAAAGGGGAGTATGAGGAAAAAGGCTGTCAGAGGGGTTTGGGAAAGATTTAAGTTTTTCTTGAGAATCTTAAGATTATCATATACCATATAGTTTATTTTCATTTTTTTTTTTGAGAGGTTTTTGCTATAGGGTGCATGTGCTCGCCAGAAAGACAGAGAGAGGCAGAGAGACAGAAAGCAAGAAGTCACCCTCCAGGGGAGATGGCCACGTCGCAATCCCTTCTCCTCCATTCTCCTCTCTGGATCTTGGGCAGGCACACACATGTGCCTGGCATGAGTTTAAGCCACCGGGTCCAGGACTTGAACCTCAGTCAACTACATGGTAGTCCAGTGACATAGCCATTACGCGAACTGCTGGTCCCTATTTTCATTTTATTTTTTTAAATCAAGATTAATGTGCCAGCAGTTGGAGGGGAGTTTAAAGTAGCTGGACCCCACATGGCTGACTATGTGGATCAAGTCCTAGTTGTAGTGGCTGGAAAGACACATCAGGCATGTGTGTGTGTGTGTGTGTGTGTGTGTGTGTGGGTGTGTGTGTGTGTGTCCAAAATCCTGAAAGGAAAATGGAGGAGAAGGGATTGTGGCATAGATTTACCCCCAGAGAAATGATTTCTCACTTTCCCTCTCATCTCTGCCTCTCTGTTTTCTCTCCATACTGAGCACCTACAGCAAAACTGAAAAAAAAAATCAAGACTTAAAATGCACTCATGGTAGTTTTTCTCTCTGATGACTTTAATTCCATACGAGTCTATAGTGGGGTCCAGGCATATGCACTTGATATTTGTAAAGGGCAGGGCAGGAAGTTCTGATGTCTACTAAAGGCCACAGACCTGTGCTGAAGTGCCGAGAAGCAGGCCTGACGCGTGTTATTTACCTGTGGCATGAGTGGCTTAAGAATTGCATGCGCTTTTAAAAATCAGGAATTTGCTTGGCCTTTCAGCCTGAACTCAAGTGAGAACAATTTAATGACAGCTTTGGCTATTGGTGACTTAACCTGGCTCATGAGTCAGAGGGATTCCGTTGGCAGAGCTTTTCCATTCCAGCCTGCTTAAGGACATTGGCTCTTGTTTCTTGGTTATTGGTTTGAATGAAACTCATTCTGCACAGATGGGTAATGGTTTGTGAGCACAGATGGAGAAGCAGTAAGTTCCCTGGCAGAGCCCACACACGGGAAAGAGCAACCGAGAAAAAGATGAAGGCTGGAGGTGCAGGCAATAAAGCAAAGCTAACATTCACTTGGTCATTACGGAAAATGCTCCCTTCTCTTAATAAGGGTGTATGTAGCAATCTTTTAGAAGTTCATCCAGATTTACCTTATATATTGCCATTAAATTACATAATAAGTACCTTTCAAGCACTTATTAAAATAAAAATAACAATGCAGCAGGAGTGAAATAGAAAGAAATCTCAGTGACAAATTACATGTTTTTCTTAAAGCGCAAAAGGCAGTGAGTTAACAAGGGTGGAAAGAGCTGACTTTCTATTACAACTGATAAAGGTTCTCAGGTTCGTGGAGATGTGAGGCTTCTACTGAAAAAGGAATTAGTACTTCTGGGGGCACAATTTCTTCATTTGCAGTCTTTGACGATTACTTGGTTTTGGTATTTGATTTTCTAGTTTCGTGCTATGTCCTTAAAGGAGCATTAACGCTAATCATTGTTCCATGCTCTATATTTTAATAATCTCCATCTGCTACTTATTCCCACCCCCTTCCCACTGTGCATAGCAGAACTCCCAGAATTCATCTATAGACTTTTTATTGAGCAACCATGACATGGAACGTTGCTGTAGGCTATATGGCGAACATAGGTGCACAAAGGTCCCTTGACGTCTACCTGCAGAGAAAAGAGTGGGCAGCGGGGAAGTACGTGACGAGCAGCCCTGTTCCCACTTCCATCAAGGTGGCCTACCTAATTCTGAATATCTTGGGAGCAGCTGACCTACTGACCTGCTTTCTAGTCTGGAGGCTCAGAGAGATTTCATTTCTCTAGCAGCTGTAGGATTTCACTCTTTTAATTAATCTCTTCCTGCCTTATCCAGATTATTTGAAAAATCATTTATTGTCTTGAAGTGTATTCCATGTTTTCTTATTGCTTAAGGATAAAGTCCAAATTATTAATATCACCTATCAGGTGATAGAGAAGTCCTTCTTAATCAGGAATGATTTTGTCCCCATTGGCAAATCCTGGAGAAACGTTTGGCTTTCTCAACCTGGGGTAGGGAAGGGGTGGTATTAGCATGTAGTGGGTAGAGGCTATGGATGTTGCTAAATCTTATTATGTGTAGGGGGAAAGGGTCCCCATAGCAAATTATGGATCTAAATTTTCAATTGACGTTTAGAAACCTTGCTCTATGAGATCTGGCCCCTGCCTTCTTCATCGCCCTCATCTTCTACTACCTCCTCACGATTGCTGCACTCCAAGCACACTGGCTTCCTTTCAATTATTTGAATAGCCTTAGTTCCTTTTTATTTTAGGGTTTTTGTATTGTGGCTCTCCCTACATGGACCCCTTCTGCACCTTTTTCATTTGTTTAGGAGGAATTAACTCAGAGCTCAGCTAACACTATTCCTAAAAGAAGCCGTCCATGCTTCTCCCATTGCTTAGATTCCTCTTCCTCTTAGAGCACCAAGAGCTCCTGTGTCTTAGCCCTTACTAACACTTCCAGGTAAATGAGTTTTTGTGTCATTGGTCATTCACATGTTACTGGTCCCCTCTCACTAACATGTAATGTTTGTAATTTAAATCAAGAAAGCAGGGTCTATTCACCGTGATATCCCAGTGTCTGGCATAGTGCTATGTATATGGTAGTTACTCAATAAATATCTCTTCAGTGAATAAGTAATCAAGTAAGGTAATGTACCTAAAGGGATTTATAAGGATAGGTATACACTCAGTTGACTGGACGTTTTGATATAACAACTGTAAAGTCATTTACTTTTTAAAAAATCATCATTCCTTGCCCTTTTTATTCTGTCCTTTTCACCTCATAACAGCTGACTTTCAACTTCTACTTCATTTTTCAGTTGTTTGATTTTCAAAAAATTAGTGAGTATTGCATTTGTATTAAGAAACTGGATTAAAAATGAAAAAGTTTATTGAAGCTAGACTGGATTTTAAGATCATATCGTTTAATTTCCCAGGCAATAATGTTATAGGAGTTTGATAATATTAATATAGCACGTGCTATAGACTATGGAGAAATCTGTGACAAATTAAATTGAAGATTAATGATGCAATTTGTAATAGAGAATTAGAGATTGTGTTGTAATATAAACATCTGCGTGGTTCTTTGATGTATACTCAGTCAAATATAGTTAGTGTAATGAGGCAGTCTACACAAAGCAGAGGTGTTTATCCTCTAGATTTTCAAATGGAAAATAGACTGACTATATCCTTATTAAACTGATTAATGTATTTATTACCAGAAACAAATTATAATAGAATAAGCATTACAGTTAAGGAGAGTAATAAGACAATTTCAATGACAAGCCATTATATATGAGTTTATTTGTGGGAATGAGCTGACACCCCTGGCCGTTCTTGATGTAGGCCTGTCTAATAAACATTGGACTGCTGTTCTGAGGGTTCATCTGCCGGATGGTGCCTGACTCATCTCATCCCTGGTCAGCGTATGGCTTGCAGAAGGATTTGGGTTCAAAATAAAGATGTGTACTGCTTACATCGCTTGGTAATAAAAATACATAGTCTGCTTTTAGTTATTCCTTAGTCAAAATGCATTAAGTTGATGCTCATAATGGCATGTACCTATCATTGCCATGTATGTGTTAACCAGATGTAATGATAAACAGAAGTGCTTGGACCTCTCGTCCGTTCTTCAACCTCTTTCTATCTCATGCTTATCATTGAGTTAATGCTTCTTCAATGAATGGATCAGGCTGAACTATATGAAATTGCCAATACGCGCTGTTTCTGACCTACAAAAATGGCATTTTCATGTGGTTCAGCCTAAATATAAATATGAACTTTTGTATTCATTTCCCCATAGAAACAATATTTGAATTAACAGGAACACAAATTTGCAATAGTAGTATTTGTACTTTGCTTGGGCACATAATGGTTCAAATAGATTTTTATAGTCTAGGCATAAAGCTTAGACATTATTTAAATCAGTATTCTGTACAACAATGTATCTGAAGTTATTAAACACTCAAGTTACATATGTACTTTCAGTATACAACTTAGTCATAGGTTGATGACAGACATCGTGACACCCGTAAGAGTATTTTTCATAGTGTGATAGGATCATTCAGAAACTTCTTTGCTAGCTGTTCAATTTAGAACTAGCAAGTATGGATAGAGAATTGGGTGTTAATATCAAGTATTGTTGAAGTCTCTGCCCTCTTCCTCCTACTGATGAAAGCAAAGTGTCACTAGGGAATGAAGTTTTTGGAATTTGATCCAGTGGAGTAAAAACATGCAGACTTACAAAAAGCAAACCTCCTTCTTAGGGGCTGATATAATCTGTACCACTGATCTGCAATGAAGAAAGTCATTTTTTAGTGATTATCCATTTCTTCTATTTATTTACTTATTTATTTTTTTGCATTTAGTCACTGTGTATATTGTCCATTTCTTGATTTTAGGAGTTTTGGAATTTCTTAGCTCATAGACACTTAGCCCTTAGACACATAGGAATATATGTGTTTTCATGAAAAACCCTGTGACGTGAGTGGGCATATGGTGGTGTTTCATAAGGAGACACAAAGATGTATTGCATTCCTGCCAAACGGTGATGTAATATGCAATAATTTCAGCCTTGGAACAGCGAGAGAAACAGCTTGAGCTCAGTCCTGCTTCACGGACAGGGAGGAATAGCTTTCCAGGGACTGTCTGACATGGCTGTGAGTGTGGGCAGGCAGTTCATGTACTCGCTCCCTTGTAGGCAGCTCCTTATCTGGGGGAGAGGAAAAGACTGAGGTTTGCATCATAAACTTTTATTTACTCTCCAGATCTCCTAAGTGTAGAATAGTCATCATCATCATCTTCCTCCATGAAGAAATGAGAATCATTGCTGAGGAGGTTATTTTCAGTTGATGCTGCGTCTTCCTTTTCTGGTCTTATTTTTTAGAGGGAGGAATATGAACACCTCCATATACTCTCTGTCTCTGTTTCTCTGATTAATACAGAGCAAGAGAAGCTAACAACGCTCATGGTGCTCGTAAATATAAACAGCTCCAAGCAGTTTTGTCTTTTTCACCATGTTAAAAAAGAGACCACACATTTTTTTTTTTATGAATGCATCAAGAAGTCATATTGTTACTATGGAACTTAAACAACTTATAAAAATTGGACAGATAATGAGACAAGTACCATGTTTATCATACCAGGGAGTCTTGAGACTGAAAACACTTCACTTTGGTCTGACTAGGAATGATACTTAAATTACTACTGTTACAGATACAATTAATACAAACATAGTGATTTTTATTCCTTATATATATATTTTTCTTTTTTTGGAGATGTTTTTGCTATAGGGTGTGTGCGCTCGCCAGACAGACAGAGAGAGACAGAGATAGAAAACAAGAAATCACCTCCCAGGGGGTGCTGGTCTCTATTCCTTATATACTTTTTATGCACATTTGATTTGTAAAACAGTTCTCAAAACAGTTGCTAGCGGGACCAGCAGTTAGCGTAATGGCTATGTCGCTGGACTCCCATGTAGTCGACCGTGGTTCACGTCCTGGACCCAGTGGCTTAAAACTCACGCCAGGCGTGTGTGCGTGCGTGCCCAAGATCCTGAGAGGAGAATGGAGGAGAAAGGATTGCGGTGTGGCCATCCTCCCTGGGAGGTGATTTCTTGCTTTCTGTCTCTCTGTCTCTGTCTGTCTGTCTGGCGAGCGCATGTGCCCTATAGCAAAAGCCTCTCAAAACAAAACAAAACAAAACTGTTGCTAGCAATATTGGCAAAATTTGGCTAAACCCTAATGTGTACATCCATCAATGCCAATATGTATTACAGGATTGTAGAGAAACTTTGAGTTGGAAAAAATTGAGAAGGATCATATCACTTAAAGTCTTTCTCTTCTGTACCCTATTTCAGGTATGTTTCTCCATCATCATCGCTGTAGCCTCCTGTTTCATATATTGAACATTATTTTATTGATAAAATTATCAACAGTAATGTTTGTAATTCTTCCTTTGCCACTGAACTCTTGGAGTAACAGTTGTTATAAATTTCTAGGTTGGTACTGCAGCACCAATAACTGCTTTTTAAGTGTACTTTCCAGCTAAATTTCAATGTTATTTATGTTATGAATCTTTTCTCAGTCTGGTAATAAAAGGTAAGCAGGGCTTAGTTAAAAATTGGGTAATGTCAAGAAGAAATCACCCTTTGTTTCTTCACAATATTCCTCATAGTATAGTAAAGCTATAATTCCTTTGTTGGATCAGAAACTATGCTGACTTGGAGAGTCATCTTGAGAATATTAGAATGCACTGAAAAATAAATGAGACAAACCATAAAGTAGGCCTCCTTGTTGATTTGAATTAGGCTCCAAATGCTGGAAAATATATAACACAGAAATAGCATCTTTGGAACATGCATATTTCTGTTGGAAGAGAAAAATGTACAGTATGGTTGACTACTAAACCTGTACTCCTTACGCTCTAAGTCATCTTTGCATAGGCAAATGTGCTTTCTTTATAGCTTTCTGTGGCTGCAAGGAGGACCTTGTGGTAGTCAGAAAGCTCTTGAGTCCTTTACACTGGCTCACTTTTGTTCTTCACCTTCTGCTAGGTACAGAACTGTACTCCACGTAGACCATTCAGCTCTTAGGGCACCTGAACTCTGTGCTGTACAGTTATTCAGTCACTTCATTTTTAATAACAATATGGGAATAATTAGTAGTACTTACTGTGGAGGTTTTTGTACTAAGGTCTGGCTGTGCACTGCGATCAATTCCACACCTTTCCTATGCCTTTTACCTGCGTCACTGAGAGTAAAGAAGCAGTCCTGAAAACTATCCCTTCTATCTCTAAAACTCATAGCCTCATCTTCACCATCTATTCTGAATTTTCTGAGAGAAATTTCATTGTCTTTAATCTTGCTTAAGTCAGTTCTGATGAGAATTTTGTCTCCCAGTTTACATCCCTTCATGCTGTAATGATGTCACCCTTTCTACACTCTATACCTTACTGCCTTACATCCTTTCCTCACGCTTTCTCAAGTTCATAGGCCATTATAAGAAAAAATTGGTATAGTTTCACACTGTCCTTTGAATAGTCCTTTTACTTTTTTGCTCTGAGAACCTGCTGTCCCTCAGGATACTGCTTTCACTGTAAACCTGGCAAGAGTTGACTGTGTTTTTCCTGTAACTACTTCATACCACTAGGCTTAGAGGAGGGATAGATGTCTTCCTTGTTGCTTTCCTTCTTTTGGCTGTTTTCAGATCATATTCTTATGTTTATCTTAAAGTCCCTTTAACTGTGCTAGTCTACCAACCTTTGGGTCCTCTCTCCTCATTTTTTAGAACTTTCTTCTTATGATTCCCTCTTTATTACACTGTTTTAGTTTCTGGTCATTTAAATGTATGCCTAAATGATTCTTCTAATATCCTCTCATTGCTAGGACTCAACTCCTCCACGATCTTCTAACCTCAGTCAACCACTTCCTCCCTCGTTTTCAGGCCTTGTCATTATCATGATTACAGCCCCCTTTTAGTCCAAGTTTCAGGCATCTTACTCTGACAACTATCTTTGGGTCCTACAAGGATTCTGGTATGTATTTGGCTCTAGATGAGCTTTTCTTCCTCAGCACTGGATGAGAAGAGAGAAGGGCTGTAAGAATGGATGCCTTTTTGTTGCTAGAATACACCTGGGTGACTTCATAGAAGAGGTAATTGTGATTACTCTTTATTTACATGAGAGGCCAGATGAAATCTCAATAGGAGGTAAATGTAGCCCTGAAAGCAGTGCCCTGTGTTAATTTTGAGATCACTTTTCTTTCAGACACTACTGTGTTGATACTGCTTTGCTCATCTTGATGCTGTAGAAACTTCCATAGAGTCTATGCGTTTGCGCGCGCGCGTGTGTGTGTGTGTGTGTGTGTGTGTGTGTGAGAGAGAGAGAGAGAGAGAGAGAGAGGGAGAGAGAAGAGAGTATGAAAGTGAGAAAGACGTTTATGTGGGTTCTTTTATGTGGCCATGATAAAAAAGGTTGGAATCAGTTCTCTTCATCTGGGTTCATTGCTATTTTAGAGACTTTAACCTGTACTTAACTAATGAATGATATAAAGTACAGGAGGAGTGATTCCATTTTTCACTTGCTTTTATAGGCTTTCTTTCATTCTTTTATTTATTTTTTTTTAAAGAACAGTTTGTCCTGTCGATATAGGATTTTCTGCTATTTTGTCTGATAATTAGTTACTTTATCATGTGAATTTATATTCTTTGGACATTGGGCACAGAAACTATATCATGTGTAGTTAACAGGATTGGCAAATTTGTAAGCAGAAGACATGTTAATTATTAGCTGTATGACCTTAGGTAAGTTTTCTAACCTTTCAGAAATATAATTTTCTTTGGGTGGAGGAGAAGGGAAGAATATAGAGAAGGAAATTAGGGAGAAAAAATAGAGAGGCATGACATTTATGGGATACAGAAATGGTTTATTACCTGTTAATGATAACATGTATAGTATTCTCAACTGGACTGGTCTGAGAAGTATTTCATGTTGGGTACGTTCTCTTTACAAGCCAAATGATGTATAGCAATCAAATGTTTAAAATAATAAGAATAATAAAAAATAAAAAAGAAAGTAAAGAGAAAAGGGGTATAATTTTCTTTTCTGTATAGTGGTACAACAATTCTTTAATCAGCCTGATATTGGTGTTGAAAAGGTACTACATGGGTGAACCTGACACATGCTAGATCTTCCATAATGGATGATTTTATTCCTTCCTGTCAGCGGAACCAACTGAAACTTCACAGTCACTCAGTATTCTCCATATAGATTACTTCATTCTTAAATAAATAAATAAATCCTAACTGAATGTTTTGAGATTGCTTGTCTGATTTTATTTAGAATCAAATATAACAGAATTGTTTAAAATCACTGTGTGGGGTTATACATCACCTAACTAATTTTCTACTTAAAAATATTAAATACTCAGGCAAGCTCGTAGCTTAGTGGTTAAGGTGGCTGCATCCTACACAGCCAACTACATAACTGAATAATATGCCGGGTGCATGTGTGTACATGCCCAAAATCTCAAAAGGAGGGAGAGATGGCAAAGAGATTGTGGCGTGACCATCCTCCATGGGATAGTGCGTTCTTCTCTCTCTCTTTTTCTCTCTCTCTCTCCAGCAAGCAGAGGCACTCTCTGGCAATTTTTTTTTTTTTAATTAAGCACTCTGCAAACATTTTCTATTTTCAGTACTTTCTGATGCTTATCTCTTAATTATACATTAAATATACAAGTTTAACCTATGTTTTGGTAGCATGTTATCACAGTACAGATAATAGATGGCAGAGACTCAAGTATTAAATGTGAAGGAGAGGTGAACAAAAGCAAATAGGAACTGGGAGGTGGTTTGGACTAGTTTCTCCTTTGGGGTGGTTGTACTGTCTGGATGGCAGATGCCCGTTTTCCTGCTTAATAAACAAAGTTGATTTTATTCATATTTGTTCTTGGCTCCTGTCTCACAACAGGTGGCCAGTCAGGCTGTAGTCAACTCTGCAACTGCTGGCTGTCAGGAGTTTTGAGAGCCTTATGTTATGATTAAAGCATTAGTTTAGAGGAAACTTAGGACAGTTAACTGAGTTTACACACATTGTGTAAACTTACCTTGTAAATGAAGATGGATTCTAGTGATTCCCACTATGCTTTTCTTTGATACTGTGTTACTGTATTTGACTATAGAAGACTATACCTGGCTAGAATTTGCCAGGTAGTAAACATTCAGTAGCTGGTGGCTGAGAATTATTTAATAAATGTCTCTGCTTTGAGCTTTAGGGAGCAGAGTTCTTTTTCTAAGACCTCCTAACTTACCGCTCCTGTAGACAGGGAAAAAAGATTCAGAGGGTAAAGATGGGGAAAGGGAGTGAAAAGTCTTTGTGAAGGAACACGTGAACTATCTTTCTGCCACTAGTGTAACTCTTGGTGGATTAGGTTATTTAGCTCAGCACAGTTTGCCACAGAAGGAGATTCAACTAAACCCACAGAAAACAGGTTTGTACATTTGCCTTGGAATACATCCTATGAAAACTTACATAGTACTAGTTTAGTAGAGAAATGTTTTGGGAATTTTCTGTTGTGTAATAAAAACACAAGGGTCATTGTCTTCTTTCAATAGATGGCTGCATGAGATTTGAACTCAACCAGCCTGACTCCGAACCCTGTATCTGCCTCGATAGCAGATGAATTAGGGAGTAAATACATAAACTGGAGGTTCAAAGGCCTTTGACATAGAAAAAGGATGACTGCGGACCAGCAGATAGTGTAATGGTTGCATTGCTGGACTTCCACTTAGCCAACCACTGTTCAAGTCCCAGACCTGGCAGCTTAAAATTCATGCTGGATGCATGTGTGTGCATGTCCACTTAAGATCCCAAGAAAAGAATGGAGGAGAAGGGATTGTGTCATTGCCATCACCCCTGGGGAATGATTTCTTGCTTTCTGTCTCTCTGTTTCTGTCTGTCTCTCTGGAGAGTGCATATGCCCTATAGCAAAAATCTCTCTCAAAAAAATAAAGAAAGAAAAGAAAACGGCTGACTGACCTGGAAAATACAGAATCATGATTTTTGTAATCCCACTGCACCTCAGCAATCTAGAGCTAGTATTGTGGTTCTTCAAAGGAGGTAAAGAAACAGAAAAGTGTGGAGATTAAGCTCCTCCTACAGACAGATTTCTGGATTAGCATCTCTATGTTGCCATTTTTCTGCCTGTGACAAATTGGACAAATTAATTAACCCCGTCTTCTGTTTCTCCATCTGTAAAATGGGGTAGTATCTGCTGTGAAGAGGTTTTAAATAGAATACAGAAATACACTTTGAAGAGAGACTAGCATATTGCAATGTGCCACCTATAAGGTTATTTTATTTTTATGGGGAGGGGTGATAGAATTTAAAGTACTTTAAAGTAGGATACCATTGGTACTCTGTGCAAGACGAAAATCATTACACTGTTTAGAGATTCTTATATAAAAAGACTACACAATTATAAATATGATCAATTATAACATTAGCACAAAAAGAAGCTATGGATGTTTTCTTGCTTTGCTTACTGTAATGAATTTCATTTTCTTGGAAATTTTAAATTTATATAACTTCTTTTGAGGAGTGTTTAATTTTCTCTAGTATCTTTTCTGACCATTAGTCTGTTGCCAAAAGAACAATGCTCTAGTTTATTAATTTGTTCTAGTGTAAATTTTATGCTCTTAGAGTTCCTATCCTAATTCTAGGGTCATGCCAAAGGGATCTATGATGCATATGATTTTTTTTTTATCTTGCAATCGCATAAATGTAGTTCAAACTAGTAACTTACATTCTAGTCCTTGGTCCATTCTAGCAAACTTTTATTTACATGTTTTAAATTAAATCTGCTTTCAATTTGATGGTTTTGTCTAATTTTGTACTTATAAATATGTGGCAGATGTTGTTTAGCTAAATTTAAAAATGAGGAATGATTATTGTAGAAATAGTGCTTTTACTTGTGGCATTTTGTGAACTATCAGAATATCATTACTCAAAAAGAGAATTCCCCAGGAGAAAAAAAAAAAGGCTTCGAGCTATTGATTTTTAAAGGAAAGACCCTAAAATTATTATGAAATCAAATAAGTTAGGACTATAATTTCAAGCTGTGTTCTGATTTATCTCATGCTGTTTGATAATGCCACATAAGTGATGCCAGCATGGTCAAGCATTTAAATGCAAATTTATAATTCTAAATGCTTTCCTTTGTGGAAGCCATTGTGTTTAAGCTTGAAATCTCCAAAAGATTTATTATGATGTTGAGCACATTATGAAAGGGAAACCCTGGATAAAAATAGAAAATATAGTGGATGATAGCATTATCTAGTACAATTCAAAACATAGACCATTTCCCAGCCTCTACAAACTGAAACGAAGAGGGACAAAAGAGTAGTCTGCCAGTTGATTGAGGAAATCAGGTTGTTTGTGAGACAAACACAGAAGTGTACAACATGAAAGGTCAAGCTGAGTTGGAACTGGAAAGAGGAAATTAGATCAATAAGCAGATCAACCTGTTCTGGTGACATGGGATGTTTCTAGGCTTTGCCAAAAGACTGGAAATTCACATTAGCAAGAAAGCAGCAACTCCCTAGACTGCATCTTGTCCATCTTGTGAGGAGGCTTAGCAGGGGGCTTTGAGGGCAAAGCCTCAAAGGAATTGACGTTTCCCTTTTTCTCTTCACTGTGGACCTTCCTTGACCGAATAGTCTATCTAGTCAGGTAAACCTCTGAGACAAGGGAGCAATGAAATCACACAATGGTACACCTTGGTAATTTTTTCATTTCTCAAGTAGTTTCATCAGGGCTAGAGAAAGGAAAGAAAGTAATTTATAATTAAGTAATTTTAATTAAGTCTCTTTGTGGTTAATGTTTATGTTCAAGACAGTGTGGACGTCTAACCCAAGTATTATAATTTTAATAGGCTATTTTTTACCTTTTGGAATATAAATTATTAATGTTCCTCATTGATTTGGTTCCTGCAGGTACTGAAATATATATGGGATAAAAATTGAAGCAGTTTGATTGTTTGCCATACTAATATCTATTACCAGTTAATTTAGAGCTTTG